GATCATCTATTTCCAACCACCCTGTTATGGGCAGGGACACCTTGTACTAAACCATATCACCCAAAACTCCATCCAACCTGGCCTTTGATATTCATCACACACTTACGATAACTTAAGATAACATAAATAATACCTTTTATTTCGGCCTTTCAGTCTTTTGTCAAAGGCCATAATTTATAGCTACGTACAATACCGTTTATGTATGTGCTTGAAACTGTCCACAGGATTGCCTGCATCTAGAACAAATTAATTAACATTTAGTAAGCATGTAGACATTACTTTTGTCTGTTTCTGAGAGAGTAGTGAGAATGATTATGTGGCAGAAGACAGGACTACCTTAGCAAACATAACAGCAGAAAAAACTACCTCAGACATGCTGTGGCTAGAAAAGGTGTGAGAGCAATGAAGGAATTTTATAAATTAATTGTCAGTTGAGTAAAGCTTCAGGAAAATTTGGGTCTGTTAAGATGTTATGGCAGGCATAAAATTAAGCATAGTTTATCCAGACTTTGTAACACACACTAGCTTTCTATCCTCTGATTTTGCAAGAAATCACACAAAATAAAAGTTAATAAACTGAAATATGAATGTGTTGGGGGAAAAAAGAAGAGTTATTGCTATTGTAAATCAGGCTTCTGTTCGTTGATATACTCTTCATTATTATTTAGGTTACTACAGACATGCAGTGTCTGGGTAGTAAGATGTCTGATCCTTCTTAACTATACCTGTGAACTGCTTTGTTAACTCTTTAATTTTAAATAAGGGCCTCTAAATGACTTCTTTTTCTGTTGTTATCCTGCTGTTTCTTCCATGAACCTAGAAGATGGCCAAAGTGGTTTATGAAGATCTAACACCTCTGCTTCAGGATGTCTATGTAGTACTCCCATGATGAACACTGCAAGCAAATGGGTGCAAGAGTAGCTCTGTTTTGTCTGGTATTTGCTACCCTATTGGGCAATGCAAGCCCTTGAGGAAGCAGGAAGGTACTCCAAGAGCAAGGAAGCCTTGGCAAAGAGGGCCTATAGCTGCAGTGTGAAGATGTGTCTTTCTTCTCACATCTTTGATGTACATGAGAAAAACGGGTGTGGTATCATGGGAAAACTCTTCTGCCTCTATGTGATGTTTGTCCCCAGTTAGGCAGTGGCTCCACAGAAGAGGTTGCCTTCTACCACACTGACAATACACCTTTCTGGTTTCCTCATCCTGCCTGCCCTTTCTGCTATTGATTTACACAGAATCTCTTATTTCATAAAGGAATTGTTAGCTAGGGAGGATAGAAGAGCAGTACCTGGGTCTACAATACTTTTAGCTAAATGTTTGCTCTCAGGTTGAAAATGCTGGACATCGACGGTGTGCTGAGTGGTCTGGATGTTAATGGACTTCTCAGCCATTTTTCATTCTGTAGCATTCTCAGAGGAGTTAAATTTTACAGTATCAGAGCTTTCTAAGTGTAGGATTATTATCACACTTGATGCCAGGAATCTACAAAGAGGTGCTCTTAAAAGTGCTTTCCATGAACAATAGGTTTAAGAATAATAGAAATCTCTCTGTATTTCAGGAAGCAATGGAATTTGCTATGCCTTCTTGTGATACCAAAGGGGCTCCTTGGCAAGAGACAAAGGACTAGATGTGAATACTGATGGTGCAGTGAGCATTCTTCAGGGACAAAGTGTTTTAATATGAAAGTGACAGATCTGTATTTTAGCTCTAGCAAAGTAGGAGCATAAATTCTAGTGGGATTGCCACATCTTTGCATCTCCTAATGGGCGTCAGATTGTAGAAAAGCTGAGCAGATGATTTTCCAGCGTACAGAATAAGAGATTCAAACTCTGAATTTTTCACTGAAATGATAAAAAGCTGCACAAAACAAACAAAACCCAACGTCTCCCTAATCTTTTACTGTATTTTTTAACCATTGTTGTCAGCATCTCTGAAAAAAAAAACTTTTCAGAATTTGCTTCTCTGCTTCCTAATCCTTCACTATTTACACTTACACAGATTGTTGGAGGCTGCTGCCGAGACAAAGAAATCTCCTTGCTTGACTTTTCTGAAATTTGCACTCAAAATCAGTGCAGTATTGCTTATAGGCAAGATACATGTATAAGGGTTAAAATTAATTAAAATTAGGGCAAAGCAGAGATTAAATATGTTGAGAGGCACCCGAGAACTTTGCGGTGTAAGTGAAGTTCCCATGTCATGGTGATGTTCTGTCTGTAAGAGCTTTCTTACTGCCACTGACTGCAGTTAGTACTCTTGCACTCTCTGCAAATACAAATGACTAGGCAAGGCACAAGGCAATGTAAAACAGCAAAAAGACAGGAAGCTCTGTGGAAGCTAGAAGATACATTGGGCTCACTATTTTTAGTTTATTAAAGCTATCTGTTATGTTTCTTTATTGTCTTCTGCTCTAGAGACTCCTCAGAGATTTGTTACTCTACTCACTGAAAAGAAGGGCAGCATGCCATGATTGCTCTGTCTTCTTTGTTGCTAGCACATAGGCTGAACAGTCAGGTTTATGGCAGATGCCTAATACAAAACAGAAGTGAAAGGGTCAAGGTAAAGATGAGTCTGGCACCTTCCCAAGAAACTCCTTCCTGATCTTCAAGGGTAAAGAAATGTTATTAACATGGCTTGGAGTGTGGGGGATACGGAAGTGCTGGGAGTCCTTGTTTCTGATTTGTTTAATCTTTTACTTTTCTTTTACTGTGAACCTCAAAAGCTTTATCACTGGATATTATTACCATTATAACAGCAAAGTTATCATGCTGCATGTATTTTAGGGTACATGCTATTTAAATTCAGAATTATTTTTTTCTATGTACTTAATATGTCTGTTTACTGGAGCCTTAGTAAAATTGGTTTCAGAAAATAATTAAGTTACTTAATAATTTACTTATGTTCCTTTTCACTATCAACAGCAAGATTTTTTACTCTTTTATAAAACAAATACATTCTGAGCTCAAGCAAGAAGCCATTTAAATATGTATAATTTAACCTAGCTGCCCAGTCGTAACCATTTGTGCCAGTCAGTGGCACAACTTTTTTCACAAGGAAATGGCTCCAGGTGTTCCACCCATTCTGTTCCATACACAACCCACGGTCTGGTCTCTGCACCTTTGAGTTTTCATCATTTTAGCATGTGCAGTGGGGTGGAAGAGGTGAGAGAACCCTTCCGGAGCAAAGTCAGCCTTGCAGTTATGTTCTGGGACATTATATTCTGGACAGAACTTTATCCAACACTGAGATTGAATAAGAACGTTCACACAGTTCTTAAGAGGGTACAGTGAGGAAGAGCTGCCTGGTATGTGTATGTTCAAAAGAAGCACAAATGTACTGGGCTTCCTCCTCAATGCAAATAGGCTCTATCTACATGGGCCCCAATATACAGGTTTTGGAGAGTATCAGTCTGTGTACAAGCACAAGACTTCCTTTGGGGAGGAAGACCAGGATGTAAATACCAATCCTTCCCTGCTCTTGAGGGGTAACTACAGTTTTTAGGATCCTCTGTTTTCCTTGGAGGATCTGATGGTATTGACTGAGGTACTAAAGTTTCCCTGTTTTTCACAAAGTTGCCTGTCCTTAAATAAACTTTGAAAAGCAAACCAGAAGTACTGTTTCATGTTAGAGAGTTTTAGATTTGTGACCCTACTGCAAACCATTATAGACAGTAATACATGATCCAAGCAGATTAGCATAGCCTCATGGAAATAGTATTCTTCATCTCTTTGCCCTCATTTGGAGAATTAGTCACCAGCTATCGATGATGTATGTATATGCAGTAACAAGAATAAATTAAAAATAGAGAAAAATATGTGCACTATGGAGATGAAAAGGAATGCCATGTGAAAATGGCAGATCAGTGAAATCTAGCTATAGAATCCACGTTTCCTAACCTGATTTATGAGATACTTAAACTGTACTGAGAAGTGGCTGTTTTGCTCTATAGTCATTGCTATACTTTATTAATATACTTACTATATTTGCTAGTAAAAACTGGTCATTAGTAGCAAAATGAAAAATTCCCATTGCTTTATGGGATATTTGCTTTTGCACTTCCTAACTCTTCCCTCATGTAACCTTCATCCCCTCAAAAAAAATACTGGGGGAACAGGTTTCTTTTAGCTGGAGAGCTGGCATTCAAGATCTTCATTAGCTGGGAAAGCCACTTACTGCCCCTAATGGCAACATGATTTGTTATACTTGTATTGCCCCAACTCTATTGCTAATAGTGATTGCATGGCTTTAAAATAATTGTTCTGTGCACAGATTTAATATTAAAATGAGCTGAATTGTGAACTTGGCTTGCTTGACGTTAGTTTTTCATTGTTGTTGTTGTGCGGGGTGTGTGTGTGTGTGTGTGTGTGTGTTTGCCAGAATGTATATATTAACATTTACACTCTTACAATACGGCTTCTAACCACTGCCAGTTGCCTCTAATGAACCATTACTATGCCAGATCAATGAATCTATGCTTTCTAGGGCCACTATATCAGTAAATCAAGAGTGAATAATTTTTTTTCTCTCTCTCTTTGCTGTCTGAGCGTTGGCCCCTCCCCTCATGCCGATTTCCCTCTCCTTGCAATGCTTTGGGAAAGAAAGTACAAGTACCCCCCCGCTTGCTTTATTTAAATTATCTCGTTTCTGCCCGTCTTTTCTCCCTGGGAAGCCGAGGAGCGAGGCGGATGGCTCAGCGTGCCTGGGAGCGGCTAACCTGGCTGCTCTCGGAGGAGGGCAGGAAGGAGAGAGCAGGAGCGGCAGCTCTCACTGCAGCCTTTTTTTTTATGCGGGCTGCCCCTTTCCGCTCAAGCAGCGCAGCCTGCCCCAGCAGCGGGCTGATCGCCTCCATCCAGCCGCATTTGGTATGCATGAGCGCTGCTGTTCCCACGCAGAAGCCAGCTTTCTTAAGGAGGATCGATCGGTGGCCACGGCCGCGCAGCTCGCCCAGCTTAGCCCAGCCCAGCCCTCTGCCCGCTGCCCGCTCCGGGCGAGCCCTGCCCGTCCCGTCCCTCCCGGTCCCTCCGGGTCCCTGCCCCGCGGCGGGCGGGATGCGCACGGGGTGCCCGCGCCCGGGAGGGCGGTTTCCGCGGTAGGCGCTGCCAGGTCTGCGGCTGATCTCCCAGTGGGATTGATTTGCGGAGGGTCATGAATCAGACCGATGCTCCCCGGCCGCTGAACTGGACCATCCGGAAGCTGTGCCATGCCGCTTTCCTCCCCTCCGTCAGGCTTCTGAAGGTACGGTGACAGCACGCTTTGAAAACCGGTGTGGCGCCAGCCGCTCAGCATCTGCCAGAGGACTGCAGACGCTGTTGCTGGAAAGTTAATTCAGAAATAGCCCCAACTTTGCCTCTAATTAGCTTCCTTGCTACCTTTAAAGCCCCTTGCGAGTACCTGAAGGTACCAAAATTGTGCTCCGGTTCAGCGTGTTTATCTGTCGAGAAAGGTCTGTGAGTGGGGTAAAAAGGTAGTAAAGGGTGGTGGGTATCCTCTGTGTTTGTTCGTTTTGTCTTAAAAAAAACAAGCCGTGAACTTCCAGGGGTGAAGAAGGAGTCTGTTGCTAAGGTGTGTCCCTTTGTGAGCAGTTCTCTGCTATCCGTTCTTTAGGGTTGCCTCGTCCTAGGAAACGCACAAAGATCTGGTACCACTCAGACCAACTTGTAAGTGGAGCAGTATGTGAGTGGCCAAAAATACCTTGGTTTGTTGAAAGGTGTACACAGGAACAGGTCGGTTAAAGACTGGCAGAGCAGACATAATCAGTGAAACTTTCTGGTGATGATTATCTCTTTGCTTCCAAAGTTGCATAGTTTTGAGGGTGTTTCTGAAAGTGTTTTAAAATGTGTTTTCCTAGGAGATAATTGTTTTGGGGAAAAAAAAATTACAGACAATGGAGGGCTCTTAGTCTCAGCACACAAAGTACTGCTACTACTGCATGGCCCACTGAAGCTGCTTTAGAGGCATTTGTAACTGGAAAACAAAATCTCTTGAATCAACTTTGTGATGAAAAAAGGTTGCATTAAACTGAAAAGTCTTCTTTGTTCTTAGAACTTCTCAGTTAATTGGATTATACAGTGAAAATTTAGCTAACATGATCAGGTCCCTTGAGGCTTCTGCACCTGTAATACGTTTTATAAAATGTTGGATTCATGACATGAATTATCTCAGTTTATCTTAGTATTTGCTAGTTTTGGCTTTGAAATTAATATGCGGCCAGGTAAAACATGGGTACTCTAAGGGTGTATTAGAAGGTAATGTTTGATACAACCATTTGATACTTGTGTGGGTAGCTTCGAAATTAGGTCAGTCCTTACTAATGCAACATATTAGAGTAGTAGTGTAGCATGGTGATAGTGCAATTAGCAGATCTGTATTGCATGGGTTATTGTTATGCACAAGTGACTATACTATGATAACAGGTATGTATTGCATCCTGACAGGAGGGCACTACCCTAGAAGATATTTCTGTTTCCAAACCAGATGTATGGCTGCTGGGAGGTACATTGTGAGCAGCTGTAAAAAAGAGAAGATAAAACTTAGGTTGCCAAAAAATCAAAATATAAGTCATACAGAGCAAATCAGGAAGTGGTGTGGATTCTTTTGCAAAGGTTTTCCTCCCAGCCCCCCCACGCCAAAAGCACATGTTAGAATATCCATACTCTACAAGTCAGATACGTGTAGGAAAACCTAATTTTCCTGAGGTGTGAGAGCTCAGGTATGGGGTATTTTATCATCATTCTCAGTACTGGAGGGGAGAGGCGAGTCTGCAATATTTATCTTTTTTTTTTTTTTGGCAAACAGTTGTTGCCCCCTGTGTATGGTTTCTCTTCATTGCACATTTTAAGGGTGAATGTTGTGATTAATTATTAAAAGAGCTGACTAAAAATGTTTTTCTGAAGCTACGGCTATAGCCTTTTAGGGCCAGATAAGGAGTGGGCCCTGCAGAGTTAACAGGAGCAGGGCGAATAACCAGAGACAAGTAACCCCTGCACAGAGGGTGTGAGAGGTGTGAGAGAGACCATGGCAAAGGAGGTGGGTCTCTTGCACCTTCCTGAGGTGATGAGCAGAGCTGGGTGACTGGAGAGGGAAATGCATACAGAAGCATCTTCAAGGATCCAAATCAGCTTAAAATTTTGCTTCTGATATATACTTCTTGTCTTTTCTAATATTTAACATGTACAAAACAAGTGATTCACATAAGAGCAGGTCCTCATTGCCCTAATTCCACAAAAGATACAATAGCCAACCTGAAGGAATATTCCTGTCATGAAGAGCTCTTAAAGAAAGCCTGACAGCAGCAGAATCAAATTACCAGATGAGCAGTATAAATATTTTGCTGTTTTCCTCAGGGAATTTGAACATGTTTATGTACACAAATTCACTCATCGGAATGGTGTCTGTGTCCTTTTCTCTTTCGTGTCTTTTCTCTAAAAAATAATTTTTTTTTTTTTTATTTTTCTAAGTGAAGAGTGCTCCTGGGAATTCACAAACATTGGAAAGGCCATTGCAGAAATCTAAGCTCGTTTTTTAATTGCCTGGCTTCCAAATTAATTAAGTGGTCTTGGGGGCTCATGCAATATTGTTTCTCAGTAGACATCCAGTAGACCCATTTTTATACAGCCTTTCTCTGCAGAGAATGCTCCCAGTAACAGAATAAAGTTTGCAAAAGCTAGTATGTAATGACTAATTTTTATTTTTTATTCTCTGCTTTATCTGTGATTCCCGAACTCTATTTCAGTGTACATTGTAAATTTATTAAAAGAATACAAAGTATCATTATGTCTTTATAATTTCAGTGCTTTACTTAGTCTACCAGAATGAAACAACTAAATGACATCAGTAAATTTAAGGATACACTTTTGCCAGAAGTTGTAAAGAATGAGAGATGGCAGAGATTTCCTGTTTCATAGAATCATAGAATGGTTTGGGTTAGAAGAAACTTTCAAGATCTCTGAATTCCAACCCCTCTGCCATGGGCAGAGGCACTTCCCAGTAAACCAGGTTGCTCATTTTCCACATGAGAAAGTCACTGTGGCCTGACCTGGACCTTGGTAATAAACAACACAAAACTTTCAGTTAATGCAATGTTTTCTTGAAGAGAAGTTTAAAGTTCTTACCCTGTGGATGTAATTTCAGGTGTAGCATCAGTGATTTCACACTGGTGGATCTAAATAAACAGTGGAATCTGAGACCTGCATGGGGCCTCTCAGTTTATATTGCTCATTAGAAATCTGTAGGATTGTCTTGAAATTACTGATTTTAAATGAATAATAAAAGGTGTTATTCAGCAGGTAGGCTATGCTTGTATTCTGTTCTGTTGAAGTGGTGTGCAGTGCTCAGTTGCCTGAACTGACATTTGATATGGCTCTGGCCACAGTGGCCTCTCTTAACTTAGATAGATAACTAGGATCATTTACAGATGCTGTCCAGCTTTGCTCCCTGTGCTTTTCTTCCAGGCGTGCGTTCCTATTCTAACCTACTTCACTAATACCTCATGTTCAGGTATGGTTTTATAATCCTATTTTCTCAGTTTTTCATTTTCTAATAGGCACAGAGAGTACTGGGAGTTGTATTTGAAGTACAGATTGGAACAAATAATTAAAGAATGCTTTCAGTGCTTGTGTCATCAGCTCATCCTTCACTGCTCCCATTTTTTCCCCTAATAAATATTTCCTGTAGCATGTTTCATGCTGGTACTTTTTGTAGTGGTTTCTACATGCTTAAACACACACACACAAACACACTAATGCCTTCCCATCTGAAATAAGAGGATTAACAAGTGCCTTGAGCACACGAGCAAAGAGGGTGGCTTTGCGCAGAGAGGGGAACCGTAATTCTCAGATGGTCCTATTAGTTTCCAGAGGTGGCTTTCCAGCAGAGACGTGCACAGCTTCTGTTTCTCTGCCCAAGTTATGAAGCTTGTTTCTTTGTGTGTTTGGTCTTGCTACCTTAATTTTTTTTTTTTTTTAATTTCTTTTAAGGAAGGCTTAATATTGGTGGCAAGCAGTCCTGATCCATTTTGTGCCATTGTACATGTAAGAGCTACTGTTCCAGTTGCAGGAAGCTCTGGTAGTCATGTTTCTGTTTGGTTTATGGTGGAGAAGAGTTTCTGAGTCTCCATATGTCAGAAGAAGAGATTGTGTCCCAAGAAAGGAAGCAAAGTCCAAATGGCAGGATTTAGAGAGAACAGATGCTTCAGAGCAGTGTTGTATGCTCTTGAAAAATGAATGAATGACATCATTCTAAAGACTTCTCTCAGGGGACCCTGTGCCCTGGGAGAGACTGCAGATGTTGCATTTCTGCTGGGACAGATGGACATGCCAGGGGATCGAGGAATGAGCAAAACACTGAAAAAAGACCAAAATCCACAAACCAAAAACTAAACTGGGAGTAGACAGAGGACTAAAAATTAAAAGGTCTGCAATGTGCAATCACACAGATTTAGGGACATGCATGTGTAGAAGTACGACATTAAACATTTGGAAAGCAACAAATTACCCATGCTATTTTTTTCTTAGTAACACTACTAAATTTTTTTATAATGAATTTGAATTGCATGTCAGTAAGTAGGCTTGGAAGGCAAGAACTTTGTAAGGGACAGAGCAAAGGAATCACTGTGAATCAGAAAAAACAATGGAGAAAATGTTTTGGAGAATTTTTTTCCCAGCTCATGGCTCTGTAAAAGTGCTTGCTCAGCTCTATCTACTACATAAATGCAAAGAACATTTACTTAACATGGGCAGCAGCCTAATCTACCTCCAGGAATTGCTAGAAACTTAAGAAATCAGACACTAAGTTGCTTACCAAATGAGGAACTAGGTCTTATTTTTCTTATTTTTATTTGATTGCCCTACCAAGAATATATAAGGTAGCCCCAGAGAAAACTAAAAAGGTAAAAAATAGTTCATTAGAACGAAGCACAGTGTCTTTTAAGTGTCACGATATATACATATGAAATTCTGTCAGTATTTCTCCAGATACAGCAAGTTTAGTTATGTCCATAAAGTATCAATAGGAAAAAAAGATGGGGAATCACTTGGCAGGCTTTATGAAGGTACATGGTGAAACACCACACTGTTCGACAGCTTGAGTCAGCTAGAATCTCATTGCTATTTGATTATCAAATACAACTTTATTTCAGGACACCTGGTTTGATAAATTGAATGAAAAATTTGCCTCTCCAGAATGGTGGAAGAATGAAACGTGTTCTCTATAAAATAGTAAATATTTATGCTTCTAAG